GAGAAAGACGAAGGCAAGTGTACAGCTTAGCTGGGAATGAGAGCTAATAATGGACGGCATCAAGAAGGCGAAGGTGTTCAATGCCTATTTTGCTTCAGTCTTCAGTAAAAAGGCAAATGGTGACCGGATACTTAACATCATTAATATTATCAATAAGAGGGAAGGAACACAAGCCATAATAGGGAAAGAACAGGTTGAAGAATGTTTCAATAATTTATATGTTTCCCGGAGGCAGAGCCTGATGAAATTCATCCTAAGATACATAAGGAACTAGCTAAAGCAATCTTGGGACCATTAGCAATTATCTTTGAAAACTCATGGAGAATAGGTGAGGTCCCAGAGGACTGGAGAAAGGCACACGTAGTACCTGTGATGGGTTTAGTCACAGAGAACCCCTTGGGACTGTCACCTGATGTGCTGAGACTACCTCTGAGCCCGTTTTCTCTGCCAGCTTGGGACTTCAGAGCTCTGTCTTGTTGAGCTGGATATGCTAATCTGCTGCAACAGAGACCCAGGGTCTGAACCACACCCCCAAAGCTGCAGACTTAACTGAAAACCACTCTGCAAGTGCTCCGGTCTCCAGCACCCAGACACCCAGCTCCCAATGGGATCCAAACCCCAAATAAATCCCTTTTACTTTGTATAAAGCTTATACAGAGTAAACTCAGAAATTGTCCGCCCTCTATAACACTGCTAGAGAGATATGCACAGCTGTTTGCTCCCCCAATTATTAATCACTTACTCTGGGTTAATTAATAAACAGAAGTGATTTTATTAAGTACAAAAAGTAGGATAACAGACAGAACAAAGTAAATTACCAAGCAAAATAAAACAAAACACGCAAGTCTAAGCCTAATACATTAAGAAACTGATTACAGATGAAATCTCACCCTCAGAGATGTTCCAATGAGCTTCTTTCACAGACTAGACTCCTTCCTAGTCTGGGCCCAATCCTTTGCCCTGGTGCAGACCTTGTTAGGTCCAGCAGGCATCTCAGGTGAAAAGCAGGGGATTCCACATGACTGGGACCCCCTTTGTTCTGTTCCACCCCCATTTATAGCTTTGGCACAAGGCAGGAATCCTTTGTCTCTCTGGGTTCCCACCCCTCCTTCTAAATGGAAAAGCACCAGGTTAAAGATGGATTCCAGTTCAGGTGACATGACCACATGTCACTGTAAGACTTCATTATCCACTTGCTGGCACCCACGTATACAGGAAGGCTTGCAAGTAAACAGAGCCATCCACAGTCATTTGTCCTGGTTGATGGGAGCCATCAAGATTCCAAACCATCATTAATGGCCCACACTTTGCATAATTACAATAGGACCTCATTCATACAAATTGGATGAAGACACTCAGTAGATTATAAACTTTGTAATGATACCTTTTGCATGAAGCATATTCCAGTGACATTATATTCAGACTCATTCGCATATTTTCATAAAATCGTATGGAGTGCAACATCACAGTACGTGTCTTTAATAAGGGGAACAAAGAAGATTTGGGAAATTATACACCAATAGCCTAATTTCGATACCTGGAAAGAGACTGGAACAAATTATGAAACAGCCAATTTATAATCACCTAGAGCAGGATTTCTCAAACTTCATTGCACCGTCACGCACCTTCTGACAATAAAGTTACTACATGACCCTGGAGGGGGGAAGGCTGGAGCCCAAGCGCAAGCCCTGCTGCCCTGGGTGAGGGGAAAGGAGGCCGCAGGCCAAGTCCTGCTGCCCTGGGTGGGGGGAAAGGAGGCCGCAGGCCAAGTCCTGCTGCCCTGGGTGAGGGGAAAGGAGGCCGCAGGCCAAGTCCTGCTGCCCTGGGTGGGGGGAGAGTGGGCTGCAGCCCGAGCCATTGCCCCAGGTGGAGATGGAGCTCAGGCTTCAGCTTCAGCCCTGGGTCCCAGCAAGGGGGTCCTGGAGACCCCATTAAAATCAGGTTGCAACCCACTCTGGGGTCCCAACCCTCTGTTTGAGAACTCCTAGAGGATAATTGGGTTATAAGTAAAAGCAACCATGGATTTCTCAAGATCAAGCCTTGCCAAGCCAACCTAATTTCGTTCCTTAACAGGGTTACTGGCCCCGTGAATTGGGGAAGCTGTAGACTTCCTATCTCTTGATTTTATTAATGCTTTTGACACAGTCCCACATGATGTTCTCATAAGCAAACTGTGGAAATGTGATCCAGATGAAATTACTATAAGGTGGGTGCACAACTGGTTGAAAGCCCTTACTCAAAGAGTAGTTATCAATGCTTTGCTGTCACATGGATGGAACATATCTAGTGGGTCTGTCATGAGTCTGGTACTATTCAACATTTTCATGAATGACTTGGATAATGGAGTGGAGATTACGCCTATCAATTTTGTGGATGACAACAAGCTGGGAGGTATTGCTAGCACTTTGGAGGACAGGGTTGGAATTCAAATGGTCTTAACGAAGTGGAGATTTGGTCTGAAATCAACAAAATGAAATTAAATAAACACAGGTGCAAAGTGTTTCATTTCGGAAGGACAAATCAAATGCACAACTATGAGATGGGGACTAACTAGCTAGGCAGTAGAACTGCTGAAAAGGATCTGGAGTTTATAGTGGACCACACATTGAATATGAGTCGACAATGTGATGCAGTTGAGAAAAAGGCTGATATCATCCTGGGGTGTTGTGATGGGGTATACAGACCCCACACTGGGCAGCCAGCTGTGTCGGCTGCTCCTCCATGGTGGGGCTGGGGCCCCTGAGTGAAATGAATTCACTTCCCATCCAGGGCAAACAGAGCCTGGGGTCTCCAGCTCCGAGGGGCCAGGCAGGGACTCACCTTCCAACCAGGGGTTAAAGATCAGGCAGCCGAGGAGGCAGAGGCTGAAGTAGGCGACTGGCCTCATCTTCTCGCTTCCCCTGGGGAGAAAACACACAAGGGAGATGGGGCCTTGACAGCCTGAGACGTGCCCTGGAGCGACACCCCTCCCCTGCGTGGCATTTCATAGGGGGAAGAGCATGGCACAGGGAGGTCAGTCCCCGGAGCGAGGGTCCAGCCAGGGGCAATGGGGCACGGCCTGGCAGGGGCAGCCCTGCTCCACCCAATGCGAGGGCACTATTTACAAACTGGTAGTTGCCAGATGCACAGTGGCCTGCCCGGCCCTGCGCTGCCAGCGTGCCCCTTCCCCTCGGGGGTGGGCCCATGCTGCGCCACACAGCCCTCCCGCCCAACAACCCCTGACTCTCTATGGCCAGAGCCCCCCCGGGCCCCACTATGCCCAGCGCCCCCCCCCAGACCCACCCACAAATGCACGGCGCCCTGCAAAACACCACCCCTGCCCACAGCCCCATCACAACTGCCCAGCACCCCCCACAAAACCCCCACTCCCTAGTGCCCCAACACACACAGATCTTCCCACCCCCTCCCAGCCCAGCACCCCTGCAGGCCCCACAGAGACCCACTCCCCCAAGCCCTGCCTCCCGGCTGCACTCACCAGCCTTGCTGGGAGGCGACTTTGTCTGCCGGGCTAGTCCCAGGGCCGGGAATCTCTCCAGCCCCTCGGGAGTGGCGCGATCAGCCAGGCCAGGACCTGCCCCAGCCAGGGTCCCTCAAGATGCACTTGCCTGGAGGGGCCCAGCCAAGCCCTCCACACGGTTCACCCCACACACACACACACCTGGCTGAGACTGGCCAGGATTC